ATGTATCCATGCCGGCTGGTTGACTCTGGTGAGCTGCGTGTGAGACTGCATGTAGGGTGTACGTGGATACACAACAAATGGCGACGAAGATGAAAATTTTGTTTTGAGATAATTTGTTTAGTTGAGTGCTTGCGAGAATTTGGTAAACCATGGCCTCTTCAGGGAAGGCCACCCTGGAGCAGTTTTCTGGCGGGGACTTTGCGGAGTACCGGGAACGGCTTGAGTTTTATTTTCTCGCAAATGACATCGGTGTTGTTTCAGCCAGTGCAAACTCATCGGAGAAAGAACGCGTACGTAAGAAGATGATTGCACATCTAATCTCTTCACTGTCGAAAGACGTCTACTCCACTTTGCGGAACCTCTGTCTGCCGGAGTCAATATCGGACAAGACCTTCGAGCAGATTTGTGACCTACTGAATGGATATTACAGAGTGGAGCGTTCCACGATGACTTCTTCTTTTCAATTTCGCGATTGCAACCAGAGACCAGCGGAAAAGCTGGTAGATTACGCAAATCGTTTGAAACGTGCGGCAGTAGCCTGCGACTTTGGGTCGCATTTAGACAGATCCCTAAAAGATCAATTTATGGCAGGAGTCTACAGTCAGGAGATCAAGCGGACGATTCTGACTAGTCCTGACAGCAAGACGAAGAAGTTTCAGGATGTGCTGGATATCGCTTTACGGGAGGAGCGCGCCATCATGTTTGCTGAGCAGCTTACTCCAGGTACTACTACTAGTACTAGATCAACATCTACGCCGTCCGAGTCAGTCAACAAGATGAGAGCTACCACTACCAGTAAATCCAAGTCAGCAAGTGCATCTAGAAAGCCAAATCACTCGCAGGACCAGAAAGGGTCAAAGTCGACGAAGGGCAAGGTTTGTTATCGTTGTACATCTGATTTGCATATGGCTGACAAGTGTCCTCATCGATCTACTACTTGTCGATACTGCAAGAAACGAGGACATCTCGAAAGAGCCTGCATCACCAAGCAGAAACGAGGTGAAATTCACCACGTGGATGACGAACCTGATGATCGAGGTGAGATCGTTTCTGATTGTGATGTTGATGATATGCCTATCTACAAGATTCGATCGGGTAGTGGAAAACACCCTCCGTATACTGTAATGGCGGAAATCAATGATGTTTGTTCACCAATTTGCATGGAAATCGATACAGGTAGTGCTGTATCCATCATCACCAAATCTGATTACGAGAAATTGGGTGCACCAGTGTCGTCTCTTGTAACTCAATCAGTCCAGCTCATTGGGTTTTCCGGTTCCATCATCCCCTGTTTAGGTGAAGGGAAATTTCCAGTGTCAATAAATGGGCAAAAGCACACTGTTCTCTTGCGCATTGTCGATACAAATGGTCCATCTCTGTTGGGCAGAGATCTTCTCTCACTTTTCAAACTAGAATGGAGGGAAATATTCTCGGTGAAGTCTGAAATTGATAATGCTCTTATACGCGCAAAGCTGCAGGAGGAAATGCTTCAGAAATTTGAGAGTTTGTTTGACACGTCAACTGTCGGCAAATTAAATTCAACTCAGGTCACTTTGCGTGTAAATGATTCAAAACCTGTGTACATGAAGGCTCGTTCAGTACCATTTGCAATCCGGGAGAAATACGAGCAAGGCCTCTCTAAACTGGAGGAGGAAGGTGTAATACGCAAAGTTGAATTTTCGAAATGGGCTTCACCTACGGTTCCGGTTCAAAAACCAGACGGAAATGTACGTATCTGTGCTGATTACTCGCGCACCATCAATGCTAATTCGGATTTAGAAAAATATCCGTTACCTACCATAGACGAAATTCGTGCCAAGTTGAATGGTGGGCAGAAGTTTACGAAGCTTGATTTATCTCAGGCGTACCACCAGCTAGAGCTTGATCCTAAGTCGAGGGGGTATACTACAATCAATACCCACCGTGGTCTGTTTGAATATGTACGTCTACCGTTTGGCATTCATTCAGCAGTCTCCATATTTCAGCGTACTATGGAGACTCTCCTGGCGGGTATCGATGGCTGCATTGTGTATGTAGATGATATTCTAGTCACAGGTCGAAATGATGCAGAGCACAAAAGAAATCTGGAAATGGTTTTGCAGCGGCTACAAGATGCGGGAATGCGTTTGAAAGCCACGAAAACCGAGTTCATGCTACCGCAAGTCTCGTACCTTGGTCATACTTTGAGTGCGAGTGGTATGGCGCCTTCGCCAGGAAGAATCGATGCTATGGTTAATGCCAATGCTCCTACGTCCGTCAGTGAGCTTCAATCGTTTATTGGGTCTGCGAATTATGTTCGCAAATTCATACCCAATTTTGCTCGGATTATGGCGCCACTTTACGCTCTGCTAAAGAAAGATACTGTTTGGAGATGGTCAGATTCTGAACAGACAGCGTTCCTTACGATAAAGAATGCTTTATGTTCCACGGAGGTTTTGGCGCACTATTCGGCGGGTCTGGAGCATGTCTTGCAATGCGACGCATCAGGAACGGGTCTTGGTGCGGTTCTTTTACAGAAAAACGAAAATGGTGATTACCAACCCATTTCGTATGCGTCTCGTCTGTTGAATAAAGCGGAGAGAAACTATTCAAATATTGAACGGGAGTCACTCGCTCTTGTGTTTGGTGCAACCAAATTTCGCCAATATCTCCTGGGAAAGAAATTTGTCCTTGAAACTGATCACAAACCTCTGGTGAAATTGTTCGGCATGCAGGAAGGTGTTCCGTTCCTGGTTTCTTCCAGATTAAAGAAATGGAAGTTATTACTTTCAGCGTATGACTACACCATCCAACACATTGCGGGAAAGGCAAATGTTCTGGCAGATTTCATGTCTAGAAAACCAATTTCTGGAAATCCTTCTACCCCGGAACTAGGTGAAACACGTGTACTTTTCATTGAGGACGAGCTCATTGATGCTCAAGTTGTATTGAATGCCACTGGAGATGATCCAGTTCTAGAGCGTGTTCGTCACTACACTTTGAATGGTTGGCCAGAGCATGTGAAAGAGGTGGAGTTACAGCCGTACTTTGTAAAGCGCTGGGAACTATCTATTGTAAATGATGTATTACTCTGGAATGAACGAGTGGTAATCCCCATGGCTTTGCGCGCGATGCTCTTGAGTGAATTGCACTCGGAACACACAGGCGCTGTACGAATGAAACGTATGGCACGTCGATATTTCTGGTGGCCAAAGATGGATGACGAAATTGAAGATACCACCAAAATGTGCGCTACGTGTCAAGAACAGGCACGCAAACCTAGTAAATCCTATGCTACCTGGTCATGGCCGTCGGGTCCATGGCGTCGTCTGCACATAGACTTTGCGGGTCCATTCATGGGCAAAATGTTTCTGGTGATTGTCGATGCGTATACGAAATATCTGGAAATTGTCCCGATGACACATGCCACATCAACGGGTACTATCAAAGCTTTGAGACGTTTGTTTGCCACATTCGGTCTACCCACTCACATCGTTAGTGATAATGGGACCCAGTTCACTAGTGCTGAATTTACCTCGTTTCTCCAGAAAAATGGAATCGCACACACTCGTTCAGCTCCCGGCCATCCGGAGACAAACGGTCTCGCTGAGCGATATGTCGGTCATTTTAAAGCTAAAATGAAAGCAATGGGAACAGAAGGTGACGACCTAGATACACGACTACAACGATTTCTAATGACATTTCGGTCAACTCCTACGGCGAATGGTAAATCACCGGCAGAAATGCTATTTAATCGCCAACCACGACTACGTTATGATGCTTTGAAAACAACACGGAATGCGGAGGCACAATCTTTCAATCAAAACCAGCATTTGCTACCAGAATACAAACCGGGTGATGCTGTGTTTGCGTTACGTTTTCAAAACCATGGTACAACCTGGGTCCCTGGTGTTGTTCTCTCTATCTGCAGTGCTATGAATTACTCTGTCCAGGTAAATGATGTGGTCTGGAAACGACACCGTAACCAACTCCGGTCACGTTCAATACCACTTTCTCAGTTAGCAGAACAGACACGTTCTGCACCACAGCAGCAACAACTCCAGCCGCAGCAGCAACAACTCCAGCCGCAGCAGCAACAACTCCAGCCGCAGCAGCAGCAGCAACAACAACTGTCACCACAACAGCAACAGCCTCAGCCGCAGCAGCAGCAGGTGCCACAGCAGTTGCCGCCTCAGAAGGCTCAACAGCCGACGACTTCACAGCAGAAAGAGCAGCCCATGCAACAGTCGCAGGATGAGCAGGGTCAACAGTCGTTAGCTTCTACAGCCCCAGCTGATGCTGTACCTGTTGACCGGCAGGTGACTCGATCTGGTCGGTCAGTCGTAAGACCAGCTCGGTATAACGGATGAGACATTTTATACATGTAGGATATGTAATTATTATATTATTTGCATGGATTGATTGAGATGATCGTGAATGCATGTACGTGGTTCTCTTGTTGCATTTGTATATATCAGTATAATGCTCTGTATAGTACATACCACACATAGAACATTGAACTTTGATAATTGGCACGTCAGACGATGGTACATTATTACATTGTCTGTTCTATGCTATTGTTCCTTGTCATGAAAATGTTTTGTTTTCGGTGTTACCTCTTTTTGCGAGGGGGATATTGTTATATATGCACTCTGATGTAATATATTATGTACTCTGTATGCATTTGTATATACTCATTGCGCATGCTCTGAATCATGGTCTTACTCTACATGTATCCATGCCGGCTGGTTGACTCTGGTGAGCTGCGTGTGAGACTGCATGTAGGGTGTACGTGGATACACAACACATAGCAACGCTGATGAGACAGGTCCAAAGTAGCTGTGGGGTTGAGTACACATAACAGTAAAACATGCGACACAAGTTTTACTATGGCGGGAAATTTTGTTTCATTGTACCTGTGAGTTGATGACAATTGAATAGGGCCACTCATCTGACAACTCTGCTTGGCTACAGTGTAACCAATGTACATGTACTTGCATGATTTCTTACACAGTAAGGTAAACTTACGGTGACAGGTGACATCAGGTGGTGTCCACGGTGGATTCTCCTCCAGTGCTATCCATGTTCCTTCTGTTGGTCTCACAGTGTGCTCATAACCCGGATCAGTGCATTTCAGTGTGCCACTGCCGGTGAAGCCTCCATCACATGTGTACTGAACTTCATTGTCATAAAATAGACCGTTTAGTGAGCCGATCTGTGTTGAGATTTTGTCAGCAAAATACACGGTCGGTAGAGGTGAGCAAGGAATGGCTGCAAAGGACAGGTTAAACAAGGAAATGACGGGTTAGCACTTCTATGTGAAGCAGCATTGTCTACCAATTCATTTGCTGAGGCTTCTGGTAAGATCAGGAAGATGCTGCTTGATTACTGAATACAGACTGAACATAACGAGATTATTCAGACTACATCATAGTGTGTGTCTTTGTCAAACTCATACTTGAAATAGAACTTACAGTCCACCCCAAAACAGGCAAGGTATCACAAACATGACGGCATTTGAAAACATGAAACTCTCGTCACAAACGGCATTGTCACTACCTATTCACTAGGTCACTTACGACTACATGGAGGTTCAGGATGTGACCAGCTTTCATTCGATAAGCACTCTGTTACATTGCTTTCGCCCTGTGCAAGACGATATCCTTGATTACAGTCAAAGAAGAATCGATTTGTGTAGGAGAAGTTCGTCCGGTATGCCTCCTCAAATCCGTCATGCAGTTGTTGGATCTCACTCAGCGGGTATGCTGGATTCGTGAAGTTGAGCTTGTATAGTATGCTGTTGGTCTGCGGCATTAGAATTGAGCAATTCCGTCCTGTAGGACACACCAGTGAAGAAATAGCATAAAACAGCCGGTGGTGATCAGCTGTGAAACGCATGCTGCATTGGCCTAGACTATCCCCATGTATTTCTCATTGCACTGATTAAGTGTTCACCACGAGACCAACCAAGACACAGTCATTGCTGCAACTGTCTTCAGTTGGTCTTCGGGTATATCCTTACTTGATTACACAAAACCATATGATATGAATCATCAACAATAATGGAGCTACAGTGTGCCAGTACATGTCATACTTACGAAAGCAGTGGTGTATTTCACCGTCCAGCATACCACTAGCCAGACACAAGCGGCTTGAGTTTGTCAGGTTGCGCGGATGAGCATAGCCTTCGAGACACTCGAATGTCGCCATGGATAGGTAGCGAAATCTATCAGGACCGACCATGTCCCGAGGAAAGAAGAAATTATCTCGTTCTGTTGTATTGAGTGTTTCATCTGGATCAGTGAGGTTACTGGATATCTGTGTGGCATACCATCCTGGTCCAGGGTAGGTGCAGTTCACAACTAGGTTGTACACACACATGATACACAACAAGCAAAGATCAACAGGGTCACGGAAACTCACTGCCATTAGTCTTCCTTTGGGTAGTCCTGGCAGGAACGCAAGGAGATAGGAGTCGGAGTCAAGGATATGGAGGACAAAGAAATATCTGGAGAAAATGAGTGTATGTATTATATTCAGCTAGTAGACCCATATGCAAATATGTTCGTAAGGTATGTGAAATTAATCGTGTAAAATGGCAGCATCAGAAAGCACTTCCCGGACCTTTGCATACTGACCTGTGCCTCTTGGCAGATTTTCCATCGATTTAATGATCTAAGTACAACAGACTGCAACTGAAATAACATTGTATTTATAAGTCAACTGAAAGATAGTTTGCCCTGGTGTACTCTTGAACATGCATGTATGTCACGTACCTCTGTATAGCTGGTGAACATTGTTATAGGCTCATTTGCACTGCGGGATACAGTGTATTGGGCAAGATTCAACCACAGATTTCACAAATTCAATGCTACAGCACATGTTTCAGTGAAAAATTCATTTCAAACTCGTACTGCGAACAATGCTTCAATTTTCCGTAAAATATATGAACAAATACAGTCAGTTGGCAGCACTGCAAAGGAATGGCACTCAGCTATCAAGATATCAAAGCTGTTGGGCTGAGTACACTAGGAGCACAGCTACACGTGCCCAGCTGCTCAAACCGCACACTGCAATCCGCTTCTGTTTGTGTCACCCTGTCGCAACACTATCAATCCTACAAGGGACACCGTAATGGGATGTTTCACAGCATACTTACAGTTAAATATAAGGGGGTTTGTCAACTGACAACCCTCTCTATTTAGTTGCTATTCACTCTTTAGATGAAAATTCTTTTATTAATGTCGAAAAATTATTAACGAATCCTTACAGTTACAGACGGGTCTCAATCCAGAATACGTCCTATCAGGCAGGCATTCTCGTCGTAGATTCCCAGATGTTATATTGTATCCAGTATGGCAGTCATAGCTGATCTGAAAAGAGCAGTTCAGCGAACTGCTGTCAAATAGTAGTGGAGACTCGGCAGATATCAGCAACGAAAAGTTGCTCCTGGGAACAGTAGTATTCTCCAAGCTGCAGCTCACAACTGAAGAACAGCACAGTATCCTGATCAGATGAAACTTCAAGCAAGAATATGACAGCGGGGCATGGTGAAAAGTCCTATGCACTTATTTTATCTTCTTGCACGTGAAAAGAGATGGATTTCTTCAGCTAGCATCTAGATAGAAAGTTACATAAAATAGACTCTTGGTTGTAAGCTACTTATAGATCATACAAAGAGTCAGAGCAAGCGCCAAGCCTTGGCAATAATTCAAAGCCAAGTTATCAGTAACATTTTAAGCATGAATGTCCTTGAAGCCTGCAGTTAGCAGGCTTTAACTTAAGCTTTACTGGCTGAGTAAAAGACAAGTTGAAAATCAAACATGGCAGGACACGAAAATGAACCCAAACTGCAGTTTCTTACACAGACAGTCTCCTATAGCCCCAGAGCCTTTGAAGCATGGATGGCATTCACAGGTAAAGCTACCAAATGTGTTGTTGCAGTTAGCATTCGGGTCACACACATGCGTGCCTTCAACACATTCATTGATATCTGAAAGAGATCATCCCAGATAAATATGGATTAGAAATTAGCCTCGGTAATTAGCCTCAGCCTCGGTAGGCTGCTATAGTGCTGCTGCAATACGCATTGCCCGCTACATTTAGCAACATGAGGATTCAGCAAACATTGAACAATTGTTCAAGTCAGGGCTGATACATTCGTCAATGTCTAAATGAAACATAGAAAAGTACAACAGTTTTGGTGTGGTTATCGTAATGACAAGCAGTAGAAAGAAAGTCTATATCTGTACTGGGAAGGATTGATTTCACATCATTGCACACAGCAGTGAAGTGAGTGCAAAGACTGTAAAACAGGAACGTTAGCCATGAAGACACACATAGAGAAGGCTATGACCTTCGACGGACACGATACTTTACCTTTTTTTCATTGACTTTTTTGCCTGCTTGACACTGATCAATTGGGTGAGAAAACTTCCCAAGAGTTCCTTTGTCCATACCTTCACACACTATACATACCTTCACACACTATACATACCTTCACACACTATACATACCTTCACACACTATACATACCTTCACACACTATACATACCTTCACACACTATACATACCTTCACACACTATACATACCTTCACACACTATACATACCTTCACACACTATACACACCTTCACACACTATACACACCTTCACACACTATACATACCTTTACACACTATACATACCTTCACAGACTGGTGGCTGACTAGACCAGACACCATCAGCTTGGCACTGCTGATACTCATCCTCCGGGTTGGACACTTCGTACCCAGCCACACAAGTGTAGTTGATGAAGGATGTGTATGGCAATTGGCCATCAGTCGTGTCAAACAAAGGCAGTACAAGACTTGATACAGTGTGAAATGTACAGTTGATGACTGCAGGGGAAATCACAGCATCCAACAGCAAACACTATAATGTATTTCAAATTTCAAGATGGCGGGTTGTTACCAATTGAGCAACAGACCACCAATTCATTTCAGGGCCTGAGGTGGATACATTCAAACTTTCCTATTACAGATCCAGAGGATAGCAATTCGACATCATGCACGACCATAAAAAAACTGGTCTATTCCATAAAAGTGGATCCGCTCTATTCATGAGGTCAGATTTCCCTACAAAGGATCGCTACACAGCTGACTTACTCAAACATTCTGGCTCTCTTGCAGACCAAACACCCTCCAGAGGATCCTGCTCCAAGACTTGACACTCCAAGCTGTTGTACGGTGTGGAAAAATTGAACCCTTCGTTGCAGCCGAATTCTACAACCGATCCGTTCGAGAATACATTATCACTCAGGAATCCATTGTCTGGGTCATCCAAGTCAGTGCAATTCACAACTGCAGGAACAACAAGACACGGCACACGCGCCGTTGTCGACCGGATGTACTTACTGTCTTGAACCAAGGTGAGTCGCATGCATTCAGAAGGGTGGCTTTCGGGCACATGCTTGCAGGCGGGTTCCACCACAAACACACATCTGTAGGCAAAGCTGCAATATTCTGATAGAGAGGAGAAGGGAAGAGATTGGCCGTGACTAACTAGATCATGGACTTTGCCTAACATAAGGGAGAGATACGCTGTGATTGCAAGACAATCCTTTGTATACGTGCTGCTTGACTTACTATTACACTCTGGTATCCCGGGGCTCCATTCTCTACTGGCATTGCATGTAATCTCCGTCGTGATCTCGTTTGTGTTCAAAACCGAGCCAAGACGACAACCAAGTCTTAGGCGTGACATGAAAGACCGATCAGTTCCCTCGACCAAAAGATTCTCTCCGGATACGTCTTCGCACTGCACAGCTGTAGAAAGACAGACCATCGATACAAAAATTGAGGATTCTTTTGGCGCCCAACGTGGGGCTCGAACTCATGGCCCTGAGAATACGAGTCTCGTGCTCTACCGGTTAAGACATCGATCCCTTTGTGTCGTTTTCCTAAAGAGGTTTGACTGTATATCAATACTGAAGGAGTACGGTGATAGAAGGCAGGACAGTTTCTCAGTAGTGAATGAAGAAATTGGGTTGCGCAGTACTTCTAAAACTAATGACAGTGCTGTCCGTGATCTCATGGAGGTCCCGTCCGTGACCTCAACGACATCGATCTCCCTTCAGGTGTATTTATTCTGTGTGGTGCTGTGTCCTCGCAGACTCCGTGCGGGTCGCGCGCGGGCTGCGCCACAGCGCACATGCGTATATTGTACGCATTCTTTTCTTCTCTCTCACATTTCTTCCCGAGACTCTCGATGAGCAAGAACCAATTATCTGTCCTCTGTGTGTGGTATATGTGAGAGTAATCGGAAGAGCCTATCGTCGGAGCCATAAAACCCTCGACGACAACAGCATTGTTGTTATACTCCAAATCCAGTTTGCCTGACAGATGAGATGATCGTCTACCAGGCTGTTGCCTCAATCACAGTCAAAGGAGAAGGTATTCTTGAATGTGATGTCGATACTGTTGAGTGCGCTTGATTCCACAAAACACTAGCAAATCATGTACACAAATGCGACAACTTTTTCTCCACCCCAGAAACTTACTGATGAGGCCTAGATGGCCCAAACAGCTAGCTGTCGACAGCATTGGGTACTACGCTTCTCGGCAGTCGTCTTGTTGAGCACTCTCGGTAGGCTGCTTTAGTGCTGCTGCCCTATTCATCGCTCGCTACTTTTCGTAGATGGAGCACTCTGGTGCTAGAGCGACAAGCTATGCTAACCTTTTTCCCGCCACTACTAGAAGACCTTTGTTGATTTCATTCAAACTCTGTCTGTGGTGCCACTTTCCCACCATGGCTCATAGTTCGGCTTACTAAAAGCTCGTAGCTGTACTGATGAGGCCTAGATGGCCGAAACAACTAGCTGCCTACAGCATTGGGTATACACTGACCTATACATATTGGACTTGTGCCGGAGAGTAGTCCTGTATCCAGGCACGTGCGAACAAGATCCCCCGACTCGTAACTATACCCAGGATTGCAAGCGTACTGGACCGTCTCGGGATAGCGTACTGTCAGAGAGCCCATCACGGCGACAGAGGCATCGTCGGGTCCAGTGCTGCATGTAATCACTGAAAGAGAGAGGCGAGAAAGAGTGCAAACCCAAAATTGATGAGTGTTTCCAGTGGCCTAGGTGCTTTTTGCAATGTCAAACAAAACAACCTGATAGAAAAATCATTGTTGCAACCAGTATCCTGTGGTATACGCATGTGCGTGCACGCGAACGCGCGCACATGCACACACACACACACACACACACACACACACACACACACATACACGCATACACACAAACATACAAACACCGAAGACAAAAGAAGCCTTCACGACTAGTCGCTACTCGGAGCATCTTGGCTGTGGAAACCCTCAGGCAACTCTTGCCAGTTTCCTGACATGCATATCAGGATGCAATGGAGCCATTGTCCATGGCTCTGTTTTGACCGCTGTTGCTGCGATTTTCAAATTCTTTACACTTTTGACCGATGGCTACACATGATGGTCTTAGGGAGCCGAAAGACACGGAAGACAAATGTCCCAGAAAATACTGCGACACTGAGGGCTTTCGGCCATATATCACTTTACTACATCCTCCATCCAAGCTGGTGTGTGTACATTCTGTGCATTATTTTGGCTAAGAGTGCATGGTGGTGGCGGGTGGAGGATGTAGTAAAGACTAATGTCATAAAAAGAATCCGCCGCCGGCTGGTCTTGGTCCTTTACTCTGGATATTGTGTATTTCTAAACACTTATCATTGCGGTCCCCAATGCTTTCATTGCGGGACAAAATAATACCTGTGTCTGCCTCTGCTGGGGTTGTCCCAACAGCTATTCACGGGTCTGTTCCAACAATGGTCAATTTGCATTTATCGAGCCCTACATCTCCAGCATCAGCATCAGCAGCAGCAAGACTATCCTTCTGCTTGTCACCTTACCTTCGCATTCTGTCCCATTGCCAGTAAATCCCTCAGCACAGACGCACAGAAATGTTCCATTCTCGTTCGTACAGCTGGCATTGTCAGGACAAGTTCCTGTCAAGCATTCACTGCTACCTGGAATGGAGCAATCGTTGCGAAGCGTGAATCTAAAAGTTGCCTGAGTGATGAAATCGTCAACCTTGCTGCAATGTGAATAATCAATGCCGGTCAATAGCAGGGGCGTCGGACACGGTACGGTCACTACGGTATAGGGCTTGAAAGTGCTACGTCACAGCATAGCAACAATTTCAAAAATTCAAAAACTGGATCCACTTGGATCCAGTTTTTGTATGGATCCAAGCACATTTCAAGCGGTCTTACCCACAGCATGGTGATGTAGCCAGTGAAACTGACTGATTTGGCTACTGGGGGCGGGGTTACAACTGGTGGCGAAATAAATGTCACACCTGCATGCGACATGAGTGGGTTGCTATGCACCCACATACTTAGGCAATAGCAAAGTCACACCTTAGTGGATCCAAAAATAGAAATCTGATGTCAACTTACTACTCCCTGGCTGTTTTGACGTCATCACTTTCAAGCCCTATTGACTGTACCACTTCTTGCCCCAAGTACCCCATGAACCCAGGGCATAGCTTAAGGATTTCATTTAGCTCGGACAAATGTCCTTCCGTTTTGAAATCTGTCCGGACATGCCCGGACATTTTCCACAACACATTTTCAGGGTGTTTCTTTTTTTTAGTAGTACTGAAGTATATTTACAATGACTCATTATGTGGACGTATGTCACACATTACTATGTACAATTCGCCAATTTATTTGTATTAGAAACTGAACTATTTACTGACGACAAATGTATGTACAAGAAAGCGTTGCAGTCATGAAATTTGCGAACGCGATATGCTCCTTGCAGAGAAGGTAAGTCAGTTCAAATTTGCGTCGTGCAATAGCGGCAGCACCATCGTCCATCTCGCACAGTGCCTTCGCAATTGGACCGAATTCGAGGGCATTTCGAGCGGGACACTCTTGCCTGCGGAAAAGATTCATTCCTCGTTTATGCATCTCCGTTCCAGCATGATCCTTGAACGCTGATGTTCTCAGGTTCTTGGATCCGGTTATGAAAGCCTCGCTGAAGTTTTTACAACTGCGGACTCTGTCTACTAACTTGATGCACACGGAACACTTCAAACATTCTGCTAACAGCCGATCGTTCTTCTGCAGGTCATAAATCAGCCAGGCGGAAGTAGTCAGCTCTACATCATTGTCCGAGATCCACTTATCGCAAGTAGCGGCCTTCACACCACGGACTTTTTTGCCCGGCGGCAAGTCCTCTGAATCTCCCTTTCGCTTTCCAGAAGACATTCTAAAAGACTATCTGCATTCCTGGTCAGTGAAAGAGTGAAAAATAAAAGAGGACATCTTCCTCTCAAGAGCGAACAACTGCACTGCAGTGCAACCCATAGATTCAGGTGCGAAGTCGACACCATGCATGTACCAAAGGTCGAAAGTGTGAATTGACTGTAGCAACCGCGTTACTACAGGCGGATTATGGTGAAGTCTACGCCTGAGGCCGAGGGATCGAGGCTACGGAGTACGGTGTAGACGTGTTAGTTGTACGATATGCAAGTCGCATTTGGCACGAAGCTCCGAAGAAAGCCCAACTCTGCATAAAAAGGTCGAAAGGTCGCTGCTCTTTTTTTCCTTTTTGACCGGACACTATGTCCGGTGAAATTGAAAACGTCCGGTCAGTGGCCGAAAATGGCCGGAAAATGTCCGATGTCCGGCCGTTAATCTATGCCCTGGAACCAATAAAATACACTGATCTGGACTCTAAATTTCCAAAATTTTCGGCTCAGCCAACCCTCCTCATGAGTAAACTGTACTTCAGATGGCTGACCTTACCACACTAAAATACCTTCCAACGCCCCTGCATAGTCAATGTATATTCTATCGAGCCATAAATCTGCAAAAGCAGCAGCAGCAGCACTGAAGACTGTCTGTTGATCATCTTACCTTCACATTCTGTCCCGTTGCCAGTGAATCCTTCGTCACAGACGCATAGAAATGTTCCATTGTCGTTTGTGCAACTGGCATTGTCCGGACACGTATAGTTTCCTGTGAGGCAGTCATCTCCTGGAAATGGAGGAATTAGTGCAGACCACGCAGATGTGAAGCCGAGTGCCTGGTTGGATTGAACCATCCACTAGCAGGGGCGTCACACACGGTACGACCAGTACGTCCGTGGTCGTACTACTTTTCCTCCTGGATGGTCCGCCCAGAGCGCATGTTGGGTGCAAAACCGTGCCTTGTTCGCCGGAGAATCCGACCCCCCCCCCCCCCCACCCCAGCGCTACTACTTCCAACTGCTCTCTGGCGCCCCTGACTAGTCATCCAAGTATCATCTTGTTGACATTCTACAATTTCTATCTCACGTATAATTAACGAATGTTTTTGGTTATAAGTCGACCTTTTATGACTTAAAAACTGAATTAATGAAGGGTCAGTCGACTTACAACCGGGGTGTAATCGCTATTGAACCGGGAGAGCAAGGCCTTAAGTAATGGGGTTACTTAAAGCCGGTAAAATACGGTATGCAGTGGAACCCACTTAGCGCAAATGTCTGTCTGCTATTTTTTAGCGATGCAGCTCACAGTAAGCAGTGCATGCTTTTATTCATGGCTGTAATCAGTCATCCAGCTCTACGTGTACCAAGCTGCATTACATAGCCAGCGGACCGTGCTACCTCTGGGGCGCGAAAGTCGCATCATAGACCATGGATAGCAGCGGTCACACCTCAGCTCTGGCCGGAAAAAAATTAGCGGGTTCTTTCAACCAACAATTTGCCGGCACTTGTAAGTGTCATGACTCATCATGCAGGACATTCACAAGAACATAAATTTGATCGTGATTTTTGGAAGTTGTTTCTTTTGCTGTGCCGGTGGTAAGCGGTGTATCCGAACTTCAATTACTAATAGTCCAAGTGACTATAATACCAGTAGTTTTCTTGAGCTGTTGCGGTCGCTGTTCCCTTGAGGGTGGCCGTTTGTGGACTGTTGACCATAGGAGTTTGAAATAGCAAAGCAATGCCCCGAAAAGAAGACCAACGGTAACGGCCAAAGTGAATTGTGGAAGCGAAAGCGCCGAGTAGTCCGAGTCTTTACAATCAATGTTGCAGTATGCTGGAACCCCAGACCTGACCGACTCGGTACACATTACAAACAATGTTGCAGTATGCTGGAACTCCAGACCTGACCGACTCGGTACACATTACAAACAAACTGACAGGGCCAATGGTCCTATGCTGATGCTATGAAGGTAATCTATACTCATCCAAGGGCGTGGTGAAGTGTTTTCCGGGCCCCAAACACAACCCAGTCCAGAAAAGTGTAGAAGGAAAGATACCAGCAAAACGGAGTGGGGCACCATGTCCCAGTTCTGATTCCACTACATTGTTTAATTCAGGGGAATAGTAGCACGTAGGCTCCTGCGTAATCCTCTGAGTAGGCAGGCATTCGGTGTTAGTGCAAGGCGGAAAGGATGCTCTCACTGCCGAGGTGGCTTGCACGGCTGTGCCTGCTATCGTTATGGAAGGTGGGCAATCCTTCTCCATAAGAGCTACTGATCCCAGAACGTACCGCGGCGTGACGAGCAGACGCACATTTTCGTCACACTATTTCAGCTACATGTATAATGCTTCTTGCATGGCAACAACATCATCCATGGTGATATTTGACCAAGTTTGGTTTCAGACCTTGAGACCATGTACTATATATGTATGTATGTATCACCCATAACCGTTGTAGGGGCGTTGAATTGTCATTGGCAATAGAAGAAGCTAAGTATATCAATGTACATGTAGATCTGAGCTGAAAGTATCATTCGAGTACCGGTATCTAGCGGCAACATGCACCTCAGAATCTCACATGTGCTGAGTGGTTTGGGTACCATGGTTTTAGCTCGAAACGTGATCGAAAAACTGAGGGGAGGGGGGTGCTTAGGAACCTAAAGCCCCCCCCCCCCTAACCCTGGTTACACCCCAGGAATGTATGATAATTATACATGTGCATTGTCTGTATTGGACATTAGTGTGACGTAACTGTGACGTAACTGTGACGTAACTGTGACGTAACTGTGACGGATGCTGTCAACAGGGAACTGTCAACAGTCAACCACAGGCTAGGGAGCAAGAGCTGAATTTAAAAATCCACTTCTTTTCACCCACACAGGTCAGTGTCTGACTGCAAAATGAATGTTTGGTACCTATACCATTGGACCCAGTTCTTCTGCCATGGCATTACTGCATAAAGAGAAAGCAAAGGCATCGCTTGACCCAGAGCACCGTGGACTGAAGGCAACATGGTCATGCTCCCATCGGATCCCTTCCATTGTGCCACCTATCTGATCCCTACAGCTGAAAGTACAACAGCCTTGCCCCACCTCTCACCAATCACCCCAACCCATGGACAGCTGCTTCCACCAAAAAAAACGCCTGCATTGGATGCATGCTGTGACAAGATGGAAAACCAGCCTCCAAGTGTCTAAGGTACAGTGGCAAGCCAGAATCATGATGCATGACCTTACCGCTGCACCTGCACCGTTCTAGCATGTAGACTGTATCATCTGGCATTGCCCGTGTAGGTACTTGCGGGCAGCCTACTTAGAAAATTGTATAAATCAATATTCATGACTTCTTGTGGACACTGTATGGAGACAAAATAATTCCCTATCAGGCTATCTACATTGAAGAAGTAACTCTGAGACGCTGATGGTGTCCGATAGGCTAGGATTCTACACGAATATAGCGTGGCCTCTAGACAAACGCTGAGAACTGGCGGACGCTGACACCATTATCATACCTGCTTGCGTCTCGCTTTCCGCACATGCTGCACGGCACAATACAGCCGCCAAGACAATCAGCCACGGTCCAGCACGTTGTAAGTCCACATCGCGGCATCGCCGTGTGTAAACCATCCCAGTCGATGTTGACGCTTACACGAAGATACACCAACGACTGCTTCACACACGACGCCAGAGCTCTGCACGCACACCAGTAGTGCACGTACATGTACAGTAACACAACGAGACAAGGAAGACGAAAGAAGAATAGATAGGCTAAAAAATACTTCCGTTCCAAACGGGGTAAGTTGGCAAAAATGACTTGCAACATTCTCCGTGTTTTGCTTACCGCTAGTGAAGTGGGTGTACTTGCGATAATGAACATTCTCTCCGACAGTTTCGAAGTGCTATGGAGCGAAACACCTGCGCGTTCTCTTCCTGGGCTTATCGTCCCGCGTTGGATCTTGGTGGAACATCCCGGGAAGAACTCCGAGCACTTGAGTTGAAAGCACTCCAGTCCAGAGAGTGTTTTTCCCCTAGCTGTAGTGACGACTGAGTGTTCGGCGTAAGGACCCCGTGCCATGGATGGAGAAGAGCTCTGAAGAAAGACGGATGCAGCAAAGACCCAAGGAACAGGACACTGAGCGCCGCACAATACGCCTGCATCTGTCAAACCCTGGGGAAAAGAAAGAACCTCTTCCGAAATGTCTTCACGATAACCATTGGTAACTGACTGTACGAGCTGTGTGGTCTCCAGCACATGAAGCTGAGCAGCCGGCGGCCTGCGGAGTTTGCGCAGGCGCTAGGCGCTAGGCTTGTCGAGCCGTTACCAGGTTACCATGCTTACGAATCACAGAAATCTGTCATAGTAGAATTTATTTTGATAGGGAAGGCCCCACAGACGTTGCCGTCTTGTTGCAGGGAACCCGTAGTGCTCTTTACAGAGCGAGACAAAAACGGATAGATGCTAAACCGGACGACACGAGACAGGCAGAGAATTCCACCTATCAGCGCCAAGGAAAGAAATAGAGAACATGCCATAATAGTGGTAGGAGCGGGCAAAGACACCAGGGTGATGAGTGTTGAGAGGGGGGGGGGGGGATCCAAAGATTTTTTGTAATCTACGAGTAGATCTACGACTACGAGCCACGTAGATCTACTTCCTCTTCCTTGCATGCGGTAGATCTTGCACCGGCACCGGCTACACATCATCAGCTACACACTCAGACGCAGTACAGTCAGTACTGTCATTCGCACATGACACGTCAAGGAGAGTTGAAAACTGGTGAACAAGACTCAAGAGTAGACCATGTACCATGTCCTGTCCCCGGGGAAAATTGCGGGAAAATATCGCAAAAAACGCGGGGAAAAACGCGGCATAATATGGCATAATTTGCGGTGAATTTGCGGTAAATATGCGGTAAATATGCTGTGAATAATATTGATGTGCGGCAATTTTCAGTGAGTATGTAGTGAAGTCAATCAGTTACAAGTCTCTGGTGTAAGCACTCGTCATATTTGAGTAAAAAGCCGCCACGATGAGACGTTGCTGACCGAAAAGTGCACTGTGTGTACGTGTAGTGCAACAAAAAAGTTCAAAAAACGCGGGAAAATCGCGGAAAACGCGGTCTTTTAAAAAATCGCAAGAAACGCGGAAAAAAACGCGGCCGCGGAATTGCAATTTTCCCCGGGGACAGCATGTCCATGGTAGACTGCAACCCTTTGTAGAGTTAGTCACGTCAATACAGTAAAACTCCCCATATCCGGGCAGGTTGGGACCGAGCCCTGCCCGTAACTCAGACCATACATACATGTACATGTACATGACGTACTTACTGCATGATTGTACATGTAAAGACGTTTTGTGCCAATCAATATTATGACTGTTTTGAGGCCGTTTCAAGTTCAAGTAGTTCGTTGAAATGCCATTTTTTATGACTATATGGGTCAGAAAGGTGCCCTGTAGACTAGTCTACAGGGCACGGAAGTCCGCATCTGGGCAGTTTACTGTACAGTGTGTCTATTTGATACTGCGAAGATACTGTTCATCCACCACACAGGTATATGCGCTCCTGTGTATGGATAATCCAGCACGGCAAGTCTGGTCGACCTTTCATGTTGTCCCATACTATGATGTACCAGTGCACCAGTATTGCGCTGGCTTTGGACCCCCCCCCCCCCCCCCCCACGGACAAACCTTCATGTAGCTGAGAAGCTACACTGGGAGCCCCCCCCCCCCCCCCCCCCCCCGGCGAGGTGTGTGTGTGTGTGTGGGGGGGGGGGGGGGGGGGATTGTTAATTGCGGTGTGCCCAGAAGCCTATGCACAAAGCACATTAATATGAATGTCCACAACGCAGAACAGCCAATCAACTAGACGATAAGACAAGCACGTCACTTCTATGCTTCGAAGTGCAATAGAGGACGGCCGAACTACTTCAGCACTTCCAAGTACAGCATAGAAAACTAAATCAAAGGATAAAAAAATATAGATGCCATGGACTGATTCAAGAAAAAAAGAAAGTCTGTCCCAAAAAGCAAAACCTAGGAAGCGATTGCATGATAAGTGTCACGCAGACAATAGCAGCACAGCCATGAAATATGAAAGCCGAGACCTAAGGGAAAAAAACCCTACTTGAACTAGAGGGGCCAGTGCACCAGGGGCAATATGAATAACGGAGAGATAGGGAATACGGAACTGAGGGGGGATATTTCCATTCGTAGATTGGGTAGCCAAGATATCGGTTAGAAAGTAACAAGGTTATCGTCAGCAAATCTTTACTATTCTGAATTGTGTTTTTGTGGTGTTCAGCAGAGAATGCAAACATAGTAGTTGCAAATACGCGCTCGGCTAAAAGCTAGCCAGCCTGCCGAACGAACAACATAAATATTACGACTTTGCCTGACGCGGTCTCGAGCTGTTGAACGTTAACTTATCCATTGCAGGTAGGTACAGGGCAAGATAAGAAGTGCTAGACTAAAATCAAGGACATGAATACAGTTACACCAGCCCCAGAGAATTTGAAGAAAAAAACAGCAACACAAAGAACTAAAAATTAACTGATAAAATATCTTCGAAATATGAAATATGTACAAGGACCTAGAGAAAACAGGCTAGTCCGCAAATCTCGATGCGAAGTGCAACACCTTGCACGGCACACACGTATTCTACGCTTCTAACAGCCATCATACTTCCCCAGCGCTTCGCGGAGATTGTCGATTACCTAAAACGGCAAAGGAAGAAAGAAAACAGAGTTCGGCCACACTTGTACTGCTTCGCTTCGGAAGCAATGTTGGCACCAACACAGCATGCTTCCACTTGAAAATTGGGAAAGGTTAGTTGAGTGCTTCAAACGAACAGAAGTGAGCAAAATTAATGCACAGTGCGTGTTTCTTCAAAAAGTAAAAGAAAAAAAGGAGAGATTGCATGTAACCCCCCTCTCTCAGTTGCATGAGAAAGGGGGAGAGAGAGGGGGGGGGGGGGGGGGGGGGGAGGGGGAAGAAGATAGTCATTCGTATCTACGCGACAATAACAAAACAAACCCATGCACCTACCCGTTCATGGAAAGCAATTTGCTCCTTCATGAAATGCTGCATTGCTGCCTTTAGGTCGATGACTCTTTCACTATGAAAGTGGTTGATTTCAGCTGTGTGTGAGAGAGAGAAAGAAAGAAATGCATGGACATTAACACTGTACAGGACCGGCGTCAGCAGTTTAGGATTGGCCCGGCCATATCCCAGCCGTTCATACTTTGTGTAGGATATGGCGGGTATACAGTGTCTGCTCTAGGATTGTAGGACAGCCGGGTACACGTGTACCTGGCGCAACCATTACAAACGGTTAACTGCTTGGTTGGTTTATTTTAATTCGAACAATAAACGGGAACTAGGCCCAATGATATAAAGGCGAATGGATAAGCCGCATTAAGAAAAGAGAGGACAGGAATTAGAAAATTACGAAAGAAGAAGAAGTATCTGACACATACAAGCCATGTAGTCAGTCCTTTCAAAGTTCGAAAGTGTAAAGTACCAACCGGGTCACAGGTGACCCGGTACTATATTTTCAACCGGGTCCAAGCGCCGCCCAACCGGGTGGATTACCCGGCTCACCCGGCGCTGGAGCAGACACTGGTATACACACGACCTCCTCGGCACTAAACACACGTTGGTGGCCAACAACGTGGTGCGGTCATGGCCTGACCAACCGGACCGGTTCCGCCGGGCCTCACACACATGTACAGTAAAACCTGCCAAGGCGACCACTTGTCCCAGGGGACCACTACAACCAGGACCAAGGGATGCTACCTCCAGTCGAATGAACCTGGATAAGGAGACCACCTGTACACAGCGACCACGTTTCGAAGGTCCCTTGAGTGGTCGCCTTAGACAGGCTTCACTGTAGATAGATATAATGAAGTCTAACATTTGGTAACATGATTCCTTTCGTCCCAGTCTCTGGCTGTGGGCGGTTTCACTCATTCACTGGCTGACTCACTCACACAGTGTCTCTCGTCCAAGTTGGTGAACATTACACTGTGTTACGTACTGAGTAGAGGGCTGACTTGGCGCAGTACACCAAGGACTCACGCTATGCCCACGGAAACACAATACATGCCCGGCTGCAATGAGCATCCCAAAACTCTACACCCAGCGCGGCCCATTCAATGGAGTTGGAACACAGATGAGACTCTCACGCACTACACGTGGTAATTGTGCTTAGTCCAAACTCCAAAGGGTGGCCGCACTCACGCCGGCTTCATAAACCAGAGATCACATACATTAACAAGTTACACATAATTCAAAATAAGTCTAGAAGGTAAAAAGGAAAAAATATTTCCAGACCAGCATGATTGTATACTCGTTGATAATAAGCAGCTCATTGCACAGCAAGGCTAGGCTGAGGCAGGTGGCCTGACATCTTACCTTGCATGCTGGCCGTTAGAACTGTTCCTCTGTCGGCAATCTGCTGCACAGCCGAGTCCTGGGAACACAGACAAGATGATGAACCATTTTGTTTGGAGAAACAGAATATCTTCGAACCATATCAATCCATTGGAGTTATTCGAAGCGCCGGACAGTGTTTGGAGCTGTCTCCGCCGGTACATGTAGAGATGGGATTTGTCCACTGTTACGGGAACACTGTTTGCATTTAGTACAACTCACCGCCATCTTTTCTTCTTCCTGGAGCTTTCGGCACTGCTGAATCTTCAGAGAGGACTCCTGTAGGCACACGAACATCAAATATGTTATATTACCCATCAATCTAACTCAATCTGCACTACTGCAGAGACAGAAAGAAGAAACCGTGGCAACTAATGGTCCGGGAGTATATGGACGGCTACAGCCAACCCAACTCACCTTCTGTACTTCCACCATATCTGGATACGTTGACAACATACCAAGGTACTCCCTGATGACGTCCAGGAGAGGGAGAAGATCGTTCTTCGGCTGAGCACAAACAGTTTAGAAGGAAATGGAAGAGATGAAACAATCATCAGGAACCGAGCGAGGAATAATACGCCAAACAATTCATATCAATCCATGTGAGCTACCAATAATAAAGTATCTCCAGTGGCATCTTGTATCAAAACACAGCAATATAGAGGTCATGTGAATGATGTCATGGCAGGAAGTCAGCGGACCCGCTTACGGGCGCTATGTAAACACAGCGCGTGCCAGTGGAGCCGAATATGGGCGCTATGTATTTACAGCGTGCGCCAGGCCGCCAGCGAAGCCGCATATGGGCGCTATGTACATACAGCGTGCACCAGCGGAGCCACATATGGGCGCTGTGTACGCAGCAGGAGTCGCTAGTGAGTCGCTAGTGTATCACTGCGGGGCGACTTTGCCAAAGCATCTCAACTGATGATGGTATCACCTAACCTCTATACCTATTTCGGGGGCAATAGCTGGCTACGTTTGACCAATCACCATGATACAATGCATTCTATTCAGCTCAAAAATACCGAACACAAGGCCAACACAAGGCCAAAAAAGCAGACAGAACGACAGACCTAGCGGCAACAAACCTGTTCTTCGTAGAGCTTTGCCACAGATTCGTACGTTCTTCCAGTTTGCCCAAAGGCCTCTGTTATGGCTCCCGCATCTAGAAACCGACAGATATGTGACAAGTTCCCAACATGTATACGCATGAACACGGTCAGTTGATGATGAGCGACAATAAACATGGAGACACAGAATTGCAACAGAACTTCCTCTCTCCTTACTAAGTGGAAAACTTAGCTCTACATGTCTATACGCGCGCGCACGCACGCACACACACTACAGAGAGTACGCCGGTCACGGTGGCGTGAAGGCATTAGAATTGAGAAAAGTTCGAATCACGATAGGACCATGTCATTTCACAAGTCAACCTGGCCACATAAAACCAAGAAAGACAGGTTGATCCACATCTACTACAGCTACATGTTGTAGTAGAATGGCATAGAAACTTCAAGGCGTTGACCATTACGGACCAGAAGTTTTAACCACTTACAAGGCTTCTCCTCCATTGCAAAGGTCTCACTCAACTTGGTGAAGACCAGGCCAAGCTTTTGATACTCCCGGGTGAAAACTGCAGAGCAAGGACAGCAGCACAGAACAGGTACCCAGACAGGGATGGTCAGTACCACTGGGATACTAACAAGATAGTAGAAACGAATGGGTGCTTCAACCTATGACTGCTGGGAAGTGAGCAACACGATGCTGTGAGTGACGTATAGCCCTGGCAGAAGAAAGACTGCAGTGCAGCATCCTGACGACCCGGTCACCAAAACACCCCAAGAAGACCGCGTGCAATACAATGGGCAAGTGGTAAGATGTAGGTGGACACACACACACACACACACACACACACCCCCCCCCCACACACACACACACACACACACACTCTCTCTCTCACACACACGAAATTCGACTGAGTGGCGAACTGTTGAAAGTTCCCATTTGAAAGCGTTGAATTCGACACATGCAAACATGGGCAGGCTCCAAACGGGGTCTCACAATCTCATCTGGGCTTCACCTCAGCACCTAGGCTAGAGCGAATGATGTGAGTTCTCAAAGAACACATACTAGTCTAGAACAGCCAGCAAAGCGCTTACCTCCAGAATGCTGCTCGCAATGCTCCTGACAGCGAGTCTTCAGTCTCACCATGTTGTCGTCCATACTCTTCACAAAGCGTCCAAAGTGGTCCACCTCCTGATCTCTGCAATCACATCATCAGAGAGAGAGAGAGAAACTAGAGAACAGCATCATGAAACTGTGACGCCAGCACACAAGCAGAACGCACAGAGGGGCGATGACGAACGACACTGGCAAACGATACGTTGGCCCCGCAGGTGCAAAACTACAGCCAACAAACGCTGCCGCTTGCTAATGTCCACTATTGTACTGGTACAAGCAGCATGAAATAGAGTATAATTAGACGTAAACCAAGCTACGAGTTTTGATGCCATCAAGAATGTTATGATATCATCAAGAATGCTATGACGTCATCAAGAGTGTTATGATGTCATCAAGAGCGTCAAATGTGACCAAGACATACAACCGAAGTTCTGCTCTACGCTACGGGAATGCGATGCGGAGAATCCTCTGCTCCGCTTTCCCGTATCGTAAAGGAAACTTGTTCTGCTCAACGTTCACGGAAAGAAGTCACGCGGAATGTGTACTGGGAGTTTCCAGTTCAAAATTCGGCAGTTTTGTGCCTGATTAGAATGACACGCGACAGATCCATACACATCTTACTTGGGTGTGCCACAATGTAGAAAACCTCGTCTCCGCAAAAAAATCTGGACCCACAACACGTGAAGCCGTAGACTCTAACCCAGACACCTGTTCTCTGTCTCTACGTTTCACGTATAGCAGAACCTCGCTAATGACCTACCCAGCAGTTGCATCAATGTCAGGTCCTCGAGTCACAGTGATAAAGAACTCTGAACCGACAAGGTCATCCTTCTCTGCCCGTCGCTTGCCTACCTTCCATGCCTATACATATATGGAGGGGCATACAACCAACATCATCACAACATTAAAGCTGACACACTATTAACATTCGGTGCACGTTTGAATGAGTTACGATAATTTATCCACTGGTCTTGCACTGCAATTATTGCGCAAGTATTTGGACGAGTATACTCGTCCTCAGTCATTTGGTGCATACTCCACAGGGCAGGTATGCTCGTCTTTATAGCGGAAAGGCTTAACTGCTGCATGTATATTGTATGTCAACAAATAGTCCAGAAACCATAACCACTGTGAACCTGGAACTATAGCCCTCACCATCGTCTACACGGATTTCAAAAGCGTCGACCTCCATTTTGACATGGTGGCTGGCCGCGCTACCCGTAGGCGCACGTGCCCCCCGCGTGTCTTAGCGCGAGCTTCGAGCTAAAGTAGTAAAGATCATGTCGCCCACTCATTTCCCTGTGTTTCCCCATTTCTTCAAACTCGCTCAGCTTTTGCTTCAGCTTTTGCTTCGCTTGTGCTTCAGCTCCACGCTGTAGTCTGAGTTTAGTTCTCTTGTCTTCTTCCAGCAGAATACTGCAAACTCTACAGCGGGTCGAGCTTCTCCTTGAAGAGTTTCTTTTGCGTCGAGATAGAGTGTCGATCGTTTCAGTCCTATCTTGCCGTCGTCTCATGAGCGCCCGAAAGCAACAGTATCTATTTTCTTGGCGTTCCATTTTCTGGCGAACTCATTCACCTACTACTTCTTCCTTTATGAAAGCTTCAGGTGGGTGAGTTCTCCCACTAGCGACAATCATGCCTTGGAAAGGAACAGGATATTCCTAAGGTACACTGTATGTACAGCCAGTGCAGTGGTGTCAGTGTACTGCACTGCAAAAAGCTACTGCATGCACTGCGCGTAGTTGTTGTTTGTTTTGTCGAGAAAGAATCCCTTTCGCACTTGCGCGGGCCGCGAGGGCGCAGCACAGAAACGGGTCTATTGAATTCATTTCTTGGTCGATTTTGACAACCAATACGTCGTTGTTTTTCTTTTTTCACTGGCTATCCTTTCTCCACTTCCGAATTGCGATGCCGTCCACCTGGAAAGCCTTGAAGTGAAACGAGTGGAGGTCGATTTTGGAGGTAATTTTCGGCCAAACGGCAATCAAATCGAAAAATTCGAAGCGGACGATCTGTTGGTATCTATCGAAAGAAGACGTTGGTCCATAAAAAATCTTTGGAAACTACATCGTATGAACCAAGGAATTACGGTAAGTTTGAGAATTTTGGTACATTAGTTAGCTGTACGCTGATTGGTCGATTAGCGCGACCGTTGACAAACGGGCCAGTGACGCTTTGTACAGCGTTGGTGAGGGCTGAACTATCCAGTAGTCAGCAACTCGTATCTCCCCACACTCACCTTCTCATCCTTGCATGTGAGGAAATGTTGGAAAACCATACTGCGCGAAATAACAGGATGGCGTGCTACGCGGTTCAGCCACATCTCTAGACGTTCTCGTCGCTTCTCAATGAAGTCCTCACCATAGCGGCCTGACACCAGAAACAACAGAAAGAGAAAAAATCATGATCGATGGAAACAAAGTTAGTTCTTTACTTAGGTCATTATCGAACACGTCATTTTGCTGAGCTAGCTGAGCTGGTGATCATGGACATGCTGCGCATGACCGCCCAGTGGCCCTCTGGGCTCCTGCCACGTCACCTACAACTCTTTTAGATACTGGCGTGATCAGTCATATGGTTCGCGCTGGCCCAACCACACACAAGCACACACCCTCACTGACCCCCCCCCCCCCCCCCCACACACACACACGCACACATAAACAAAGCGGCGGGAACCCTGGCACCGGCAGACGCCACAGAATAACATAATTCGAATAGCTTCAGGAAAATAACACACGTCTACTCCTCACGACACATGTCTCTCTGTACGGAGATTTGCGGACACAACACATGGAAAACACATTGAGGAGAACCCTCTCAGATTGTCGTAATAATATAATGAGAAAACGGTGAAATGAGGCGATTGACAAGTGAAACAGGTGCTGAAGCCTAGTTGCGAATTTGAATTCGTCTTGGACGGTCACAAAAACATCACAGCAGTTGTCCTTACCAGCGTATTGTTTGTCGGGCAGAGGTGGCACAGCCAGAACGGTGAATTTTTCTACCAGCCGATCGTGTAGCCAGTCAAAGTGCTTGTAGCGTCTCTCCACGAGCTCGCCGGTGGTCTGGGAAAGACAGTATGCACAAACAACGGAAGGCAGGATTTAGCGTGGATTTGCATTCAATGCCATGTCGGGATGGCAGATGTGGACATGCAATAGATGAGAGCCTACTCATCCAAGGATAGGATCCCTTCATGCACACGTAAATACCTTCAGCTCAGGCGTCAAAAAAAACTTCACATAAACAGGCCCTTAGTCTAGAAACTGTACCTTGCGTACACCACACGTAATGTAACTGTACTCCACATTGTCCCAACCAACCAACCAACAAGCCCACTGCAAATATTGTGGGATTTTCTTTCTAACAAGCCGTCATGTAGGGGAAGTACATGTGCCCAGACGGGTATAAGTAGGGAGAGCAACGCCTCGCACTGCCAGTACATCGAAATACAACACACTAGGTGCAGTGCACAGTGATGTGATGCATGCATAGTGGGTTATTAAGGGGTACCACATGTGGCACGAAAATGGTGTTGCACAGCTTTTCGGATCTGCAAAGCAAAGGGTCAGGGAAGGGAAGGGAGGAGTGAGTTAGGGGTACCACATGCGGGACGAAAATGGTGTTGCACAGCTTTTTGGATCTGCAAAGCAAAGGGTCAGGGAAGGGAAGGGAGGAGTGAGTTAGGGGTACCACATGCGGGACGAAAATGGTGTTGCACAGCTTTACGGATCTGCAAAGCAAAGGGTCAGGGAAGGGAAGGGAGGGGTGCAAAAAGCAGTGGCTGGACGTTGGGGAAAGTGTGCAAAATGTTGGCGCAAGCCAATTTGTCATGAAAAACATGAAACGTATGGCCCGTCGTACACCAGGTTCCAGCCGCCAAAAATTTCACGGTTCGCTTGAGACCCAATAAGACTGGGCTTTCAGTATCCGTAGGAACGTCACCACCCTGCGAAGTTCCCAGGCGCAGATGCAGCTCCTAAGGCGCTGCCAACGTACCCTATTGTGTTGTGGCTGCTGGCCAGCAGTTGAGAGTAGGTGTGGATGAATGCATAGGGTACGGTTTTGTGAAGTAGCATGAAAGAGCAGCAGTGGTACTCCCAAACGGCAACATAACTCACCGACATAGAGATGGTGTACGCAATAAAGCTTTTCATTCCCTTCAGCTTGCTCTTCTTGGTTGGCTCAGTCACTGTCAGCTCAAACGATTGAGCTTGGGTCCAACGAGGACCTTCTGGAGATTGCTGGAGAGTGAAGAAGAAACATGGATTTCTCAAAACAGCAAACTCTTTCGTATCTAGGTTACAATGATGAGTGGATAACGCTCTCTTACTCCCCAAAATAACCCACCATGACATCGTTAGTTCACACACACACGCACACACACACACACACGTGAACACACACATACACACACACGCACACGAGAGCAAGAATATAGGTTCTAGCCACGGCAAGAATTAAGAACTACATGTACCACAACATTTCGAAAATGGATCCTCAAGATTATTACTTACAAAGAGGGCGACTTCTTCACCGCCCGCAGCCCTTGCCTTCGTTTCACCAAGTAAAAAGGCTTCTCCTCCAGATTTTACAAATGTCGAGAACCTGAGAAATATAAACACGCAGATAGAAAGACACACATGCATAGACGAGCACGTGCACACACGCGTGCGCACGCACACACACACACAATATACGCAACATTAGGAAGCTGAGAAGACTCGAGCAGCTATCGCATTGCAAGGTGCTTCTCAGTTCCCATTCTTTTTGCAACGAAGCCTTTGAGAAGGGAAGACCAAAGAGAGTCTAAAACTCGGGGGAAGGTGGCCAAAGGAAGAAATTAGATATCAACATGATGCTGATATCCCGAACATGATGATTATAGTGCATACAAGGTTCGTCATGTGCACAGTGCGGTGCCAGCATACTAGTAGTGGCACTGCTGGGCAGTAGAGTGCCCATTATCTGCACCCCCCTCGGGGAGCAGCAGCAGTCTACAGGGGGCTCGAATGAGGAGCATGTTTGGATTAGGGTGCGAAATCATCGGAAACATATACAACATACCTTCTTCCTTTTTTTTTTAAAGAATTCGGGCTTGGAAACTATAAAACTGTGTAGGGTATTCAGTGTTGCCATATCATTTAGCTAAATACGAGTAGAATTAACAAAATGCACCGTCCGGGGACCCGATTCCTAGCAACCCTAGCCTCCACAGTCACACGCGTCACACTACAGTAGAACCTGTAACACAAGACCACTGTAATTATTAGCGACTACGACACTTACAAACAGTCTGAAAACACCAACAACTAGCTCTGCCTTTCGATATTGAGCACTCTATTGGACAGCCTGGGACCTCTCTGATTTACAGTCTGAAAAAATTTCGACGGGTTCGCGTACCAGGCAGGTCAAGTACAAGGTGTCGTACAACTCCCTGGTCAAGAACCACCTTTCCGCTTCCGTGGGACGCCACCACCCCATGATCAGGCGTCATTTACAGTCTGAAAACATCATGTAAACTGTCGGTGGTGGCGGAACTAACCTGTTGATATTCTTGCGAATGGTCCCACTTCTCTGAATGCCGGACTCCGATTGTTTGAATTCGCGACTGTGTGCTGCGCCATCTGCGCCATCCAAATAAGCTGCAGAGTTGGGTGATAGAGCTACGGGACATCATGCAATGCAAAAGCAAGAGAACAGTGCACAAGTATTTCACAAAAGCAGGATGACAGAACACTGGCAACCGGCAATCCTGCTAGAGCAGAGATGAAGACTGATGGGTGAAGCAAAAAAAACTCAAATCACAATTTGGGCAAACATCATCATTATTACGGCAGCAAGGCGGGCAATTTCTCACGCCAAGGTTTTACGGCTGAACCCGCCCTTGCTGTTGGGCACGCGAGAACAATGGCGGGATATCAAAAAAGGGAATGAAGACGGACAACTATGAAAGAAGAAACCGGAGGCTATCCTCTGGTGAGAAGGTAGAATACTAGAATTACCTTTGCTTTATACGAGTTTAGAAATAAAAGGAAGAAACAAGAAGTGACTCACAATGATACTGAGAAGAAGGGCACACTACAGGCTCTTGAACAACATTTCGAAACGTTTTCAGGAGTATACTTTCAATCCCCATCGTCAGGTGAAATACAGGCAAAATAGATGTTGTTCAAGAGCCTGAATGTCATTCTCCTCAGTACTATAGCATTCTTGTCTCCGAGGAAACTGTTCACGTAAGTGACTTACACGATGTAGTACTGGTTGCAGGTGCAGGTTCTTGTGTTCCGCTCTCGTCCCACTCGCCACCTTCGTCCCAGCTCTCCGCACGGTCGCGGTAGCCATCCTCCTCCTCCTGTGCATAGCCCTGGTTCTGATCGTAGGCATAGTCCTGCGGTGCCGTCGCGGCCGCGGCGGGCTCTGCAACTTGCACCGGCGGGGCTGACGGCGCTGCTGCTGCACCCTCGGGTATAACCTGTGTGTCATCACATACCCAAAGACGGCACAGTGCTAGCTCAGTACATGTACAACATACCAACTACACTGCAGTGTCCGGTGACGAAGAACTGGCGGTTCGCGGCTGCAGTCTAACCACATTCTTATTTTCATGTACTGTCGCGGACATGGAAATCCGGTCGCAGGTCAAGTGGCCCGAGTCAAGTGGCCCGAAGGTGCTGGCCATAAGATTATTATGGACTTCAGCCATGTCTTTAAAGATTCGAACGTACGAACTCTCACGAACTTGGAAAAAGTCTTGCATTGCGATATGCGTGTGGACCCTGCACTGCACTGTCCTCTGAAAGTGAGTCAGTCGTCACCTTCACAACCACACACCCCTTCCCCTTCCATACATGCGTGTGCACACAGCAACACACAGACACGCACTGCTCGTGTGCGCGCGCGCACACACACACACACACAGACTCAGACATGCCCATCGCGGAAGCGATGATAGCGAACAGCTATGTTAGGCATAGCAACTTGTGCTGGGATTACACCATTCAACAGCTTGCAAGGCTGATGAATTGACAGCCACTAATTTTAGCCTGGTATCCACCACACAGCTGATTGAAGTGACTTTTTCTGGCCAGTGAATCCCTATTTTCATTTTTCATTTTTTTCTTTTTCTTTTTTTCGACACACATTCACACCACACCACATACTCTGGCATACACTGGCTAGGCTGCTGGTAACCACCCAGGAGAAGAAATGAAGAGCTAGGAGAATGAGAAAGAGAAGAAAGACGTGTGCGACCATAATCGTCGGGAATTGAACCCGCAACCTCTCGATTGGAAATCGACTGCACATACCACTGCACCATATGGGACACACACACACACACACACACACACACACACACACACACACACACACACACACACACACACACACACACACACATGCACACACACAAACACACACACACCACACACACACACACACACACACTACCGCTCTCTACCTAGAAAGCTCACCTCTACGTAAGTCTCGGGAAAGAGTCCGATCTGTCCAGAAGGCATTCTACCTTCCCACCAGCCATCTCCAACATCCTGAGTAATTGGGCAAGAGAAGACGGGAGTCATGGTTATTTCAAGATCACCAATACCTACGAGCTAAAGCCAGCAAACAGTCACCACTAAATACGCTGCATGTCCAGCATGCGCAAAACAAGGCATACAGCCCGTTTGGATAACAATAATCATCTAAGCACTGGCTTCTACTGCTTGTGAAACAGAGAGAGGATCAAGGCGCAGATGCAGCTCCCAAAGCAAAAGTACATGGAAATTATAACACCACAGTCTACAGTAGCTGCTCGGTTTTCTTTCGGGTCATCATGAATGATAGGATAGCCCGTCATACCGAAGGCTCAGCGCCACATCACAGTATCGCTAAGGTGACAGCGGGAAATGTGTGTGTATTTTCCCCCTTTAAAGGCTTTTGTTCGACCAGCGCACCTTGGCGGTACGGTAAAATCTACTGAAATGGCCATGTACTGTACATTGATGTGAGATGCAGGACTTTATCGTCTACGCAAAAACGTTACAGTGATGCAGATTAGGGATGACGGGAGCACTACATTACGTACCGGGCGGTGCAAATAGCATGAAAGTGCTCAGCAACATTCACAAATCACACATTCATCTCAGGCAGAATACTTTCCAGCCAACACGGACTCTGTAGGGCTGCTTCTGCTTCTGCTGCTTCGGTCTCAAGTCTAAACCGTTTCCTATGTTTGCCTGTAACATGCACTGTGCCTACATGGGCAGCTGTGGTACTCTGATCAATATCCTCAATGACATGATTCGTCTACACGCGGCCACGTTCGTCATCCCACGAGTGAGAGTGCAGGAAGGAACAGCACAGGGTACGGGCCGTAATGGCAACACGGCTGGAAACCCTCTGTGTTTGCTAAGCCGAGAAGACACAGCTCGCATCCGCTAGCAAACACACAGGCACCACTGCCAAGTACATGTAAGCCCTTTGCCCATGAAGTGATGATTTGTTTTTTGTACTAAGCAGGTCAAAACATGAAACTAAACTTTTGTGCAGAAAGCTGATCGTCGTCGACTGGCACTCAGCAAGCCGACTTATCCAATACGACAACAATTCCAGCATGACAACGGTGAAACCATTAGCCAACACCCTCATTTGCAGTGCCAGAAGGGGAGGCTTTTATGACAATGAGTACAGTACATGTACCGTAATACGAACGACCTCTGAACTTTTGTTCTGATTTGATACTATAGTTCACAGATCTCACTAGGTCCACCGTACACAATACTAAAATTCGAACAACAAAAACTACTCGTCTGCATGACATTGTACTTGTTTTAAAAATTGAATGGCACAGAAATGCACATCCTGTGGAAGTCAAAAGAGTGTGGGATGAGAAGACTCACCTGATTCGTCACAAACAGAACATCTCCCTCAGTTATCGTCAGCTCTCCGCCACCGCTATCGCCTTCGAAATCGTACAACACTCGAACCTTGACCATGACAGCCACACCAGATGGTACGAACAGAGAGAAAACTGATAGTTTGCATTCGTCTACACCAACACTACCTTGTTTATCCTGGCTTGCTCAAATGACAAGCAACAAGCAACATCCTATGCCCGTGGAATTATTTTCTGTGAATAGGAGGAAACGCCAGCGAAGCACAAGGTCAATGGGAGCCGTTTGGTTACTGGACAACTGGTAGCTAGCTACCTGGCAAGCACTATCTGCACACACGACATAACATGCTTTCTTGGACTTCCCTTGACTTCATCAGTACACCGAGCAGCGTCACTCGAGTGATCATGGACATGGTGATGTGAGGCATGCACGGAAGACTGTCTGTGAGTGTGAAGTGCACAGATCTCTATGTAGATTACGACATGTATTCATGAACTTCCTTCACACACATGCACAGATTGATTTTTTGAAAGGAAAGCCAGATAATAGCATGGTGCGCACCGGTGAGACGATACAGCCAGCGCGCACTTGGCCGGCCCCTGTCGCGCTAGCCTAGGGCCTGAAAATCGTAGGAAGGATTTGTACGCCCACGGCCACCATTGTACAACTCGGTTTGCGTACCTGTATCTCTGCAGACTCTGCCATTTTGAAGACGCCTTCGGATTCACACCCGAGGGAATCCTGTCCAGATGGATCTTTCACACTGAAGATAGAATGGGCGTAGATGAGTCTACAGTCTAGCTGGGGAAGATGCGGACCCCAGCAGCCTCGGAAGCTTCGGCTTTTCAGCCTGGGACTAGTCGACTTGGGAGAGCGACGTAAATCCTGTATTGCAGCTCGTCTTCAGCTCCTGCTCCTTCTTCAGCGTATGCACATGCGCTCAATCCGAAATCCTAGCAAAACTACCACATGCACAACTCTAAAAGAAGATATTTCGCCACTTCTTCCCTGTATGTCAAAAACACAACAAAAATGACTCTACTGCAACAATGTACTAAACATCTTCACAGACTTCAGTGACAGTGATCGATCGATCAGCTGGTCGTACGACTTATGTTGTGCAGCAACGCGAGCTACAGTCAGTACAGAGGCTCGTAACAGAGCTATGCCTAATGAACTCCTAGCGCCTGCCAACCTACAATCTTTTGATTGGAGTTATAAAAATCGAGGATTTGTTGCTTGGGCCAAATATTATACAGTTTTCGGGCCCCCAACTCCCAAGTTGCAACCTCCCAGTACAGTGCAATGCAGTCTTCCACACACCAGGAAGATCACTATCATTCGTATCAAGACAAGCGCTAGCTAGCTACTAAACATGACTCGCACTGACTGACTGTGGACATGTCGACAGTGACTTCGAAAAACGGAGCACCGCGCACACCGGTATGTCACTAGTAAAAGACACAGTCTGTAGTGTAGGGCCTATGCCTATGCCATGGCTCGACTCCCTGATCCATACTACACAGACCCCATACTAGCCTTACTACTAGGCCATAGCATCACCCGCGGAGAAGTGACGTTTCGGGGCCTACACTACCTGATTAGTATAGACTTGCAGTGCATTGCGCAGCACGAGTAGACCTACTCTGTGGTCAAAGTATGATTGCTCCACCCCGAACAGTTCAACACACCAATTCCCGGATCAATCTATGCAGAGCCCGGCCTCATACTCAGCCTTTCCTCACTCCGTCAACACCATTACTGGTGTTAATTTTGGAACCAACTCCCTTTCGGGATGAACTTAGGGACACTGGAAGAGCTACCACACTGTAGTACCAGAACCAACGTGCGCAAACCAACAGCCTTCCAGCTTGGAAGGTTCAAGGATATGGTAGGACCAATGAGGGGAAGGTGAGCGTAGCGAGAATGTGCACAAGCCAACTTGGGTGGGGCAGCAATATCAGAGAGATAGAAAGGGAGAAGCCTTGCCAAAACGAATGATACAAAACCGGACGCCAATATCTAACGGTACTCCTCATGCATGGCACTATTGTGGACGAGTTGACTACGATAACAAGTAGTTTCACACGACGTACGTTTCGCCGTATTGCTAGTGACGGCTCATCAGGTGTGCAAATTTAACTCGGATACTGATCCAATAAATATAATTAAAATAGAAGAAATCACATGGAAACGAGTTATGAAGCAACTATCCACGACTGTAACAAGATATTAGGCAGTCAGAAAGTGCGACAACAGGGCACAAAACTGAAAATCAGTCATGTTACTGACACATTCAACGACCTGAGACCTACAATGTAGCTCTCGCACTACTCCAGTGCGCAAACCAACAGCCTTTCAGCTTGGAATGTTCAAGGTTATGCTAGGACCAATGAGGGGAAGGTGAGTGTAGCGAAAATGTGCACAAACTAGGTACCACGGCTACAAAGTATTACAATATTGCATTATTAACAGAACTTAACTCTGATACTGAGCCAATAAGTATCCAATATCAGACGAGGCTGAGGTTTTATGACTTCTAAAAACCTGTATAAAAACCGAAGCGCAGCCGAGGTTTTTACAACACGTATTTTATAAGTCATAAAACCGAAGGCGAGTCTCCTATTGGATTTATATCCAGCTTGGAACAGCATTTTCTGAAAGTAACACTCACTTGGAATAGGTAACAAATGAAAATACTACCGTTTCTGGCCTTTCTAATTGTTCAATTATGATCTGTTGTTTCAACAGATAGATGTAGTACTTGAAGCAATAATCTTACAACTCTGCTGAAGTACCGTGTAGTCAAAGTGAAGCCTGTGGAGATGCAGTAGTAATCTTACTACTCTGTTGCAGTACTGTGTGGTGGAATTGAAGCCTGTGGCATCCTGCGACTTCGTCTTTTACATGTTTGTAACCATACAAGTATCGGTAATAGCACATACATGTAGGGGGTCTTGAAATACGACGACTCGTACATCTACGGTTTGTACACTGCAATCAAGACAAAGGCATAGTTCCCAAATGGCACAATCAGCTTCTTGGCTCATGATGTACTCTATGACCCTAAAAATTAAGCCTGTGGCCTCTTGTGACTTTTAATTAACCTTGTAATAGCGCCTAGGGGGTCTTGAAATACTACGACTGAGTCGACTGGTACTCATTGGGTTTGTACACTGCACTGCAAGCAAGATCATGGCATAGTTCCCAAAATATTGGCAATATGAGCGTCTACTCTAACAACCCTGCAACTTTGTTTTCCTTCAGGTCAACTACCAGGGGGGGGGGGGTCGTGCAATACTCACCACGGGCACTGGTTTGGAGGGTTTGTGCACTGCAAAGGCATAGGTCCCAAATGGCAAAATAAGTTTCTACAAAGTGCCCATGCTCTCCTACTTCATCCTTTCTTCTGCCTCGAGCAATGATGATGGAGACAGGTGATGATCAGACCTCTGCTGACCTGCGGAGAAGAGAAGGAGGGTCTTTGCAACTTCAACTGCTGAGGAGCGACAAGAGCTAATAGACAAGAGGACCCCCAAAAACACCGTTATTGCTACTGATTTCTGGACGCACGCCTTTGAGCAATACAATGAAGGGAAGGAAAGTCCCCTCGAGCTAAAAGCAGCTTCAACGGCTGGTCTTGCTGGCCTTGTTTGTAACAGACTACATGTTGTTGTTGTTGTTGTTGTTGTTGTTGTTGTTGTTGTTGTTGTTGTTGTTGTTGTTGTTGTTGTTGTTGTTGTTGTTGTTGTTGTTGTTGTTGTTGTTGTTGTTGTTGTTTGGCTTTACTTAGAGTGGAGTTCCAAAACAGGCCTAAATCTAATGACAATGGTCCCACTGATAATAAGAGAAAAGAAAAAAATATAAAAATAAGCTGACAAACAGAACAGAGAAGAAGATAGTTAGATAACTAATATGAGCACGGCAGCAGGGAAAAAATCACAAGCACGGCAACCGGGAAGAAAGGAGTGAGTGAGTGAGTGAGTGAGAGAGAGAGAGAGAGAGAGAGAGAGAGAGAGAGAGAGAGAGAGAGAGAGAGAGAGAGAGAGAGAGAGAGAGAGAGAGAGAGAGAGAGAGAGAGAGAGTTGAAGGCTTCTATGCTGACGCCAGGAAAAGGGACGGTACCAAGTACACCAGGAACAGCTACTTGGCGGCCAGAGCGGCTATTCATCGACGAAGAGAACGAGGGTCTTTGCAACTTCAACTGCTGAGGAGCGACAAGAGCTAATAGACAAGAGGACCCCCAAAACACCGTTATTGCTACCGATTTCTGGACGCACGCCTTTGAGCAATACAATGAAGGGAAGGAAAGTCCCCTCGAGCTAAAAACCGCTTCAAAGGCTGATCTTGCTGGCCTTGTTGAAGGCTTCTATGCTGACGCCAGGAAAAGGGACGGTACAAAGTACACCAGGAACAGCTACTTGGTGGCCAGAGTGGCTATTCATCGACATTTGGGCAACATCCAGAATGATGTCAACTTGTACTCGTCACTGGAGTTTCAACGCTGCAATAAGCTTCTTGATGGGCTGATGAAGGAGAAGAAGCGTCAGGGAGACGAACCGTCCGTCAGGCACCAGCCAAGTATCAACGATCCAGACTGGCAGAAGCTTGATGAGTTCTTTGACGATATTCTTGAGACGAGGGACCCACGCAAGCTGACCTACTACGTTTAGTTGCACGTGACCAGCAAGTAATTAGTTCTGCTTGCGTGCAGGCGAAATCCAGTGTCGGCTAACCAAGAGTACATAACCAGGTTATGTACTCTTGGTCTAACCAAGAACGACCTCGTCCTGTCAGCTGTGGAAGGTAAGGAGGTATTTACCTTCCGCACTGATTTTATGTCGAAAACCCATCAGGGTGGCGTTGGTGGTTCATGTTTTGAGTCAGCCGGCTGTATTCAAGATAATGTCTAAGTTGCTGTGTTGAAGCTGTATTTCGGTAGGCTTAACCCCAATCTAGATTGTTTGTTCCAACGCTCTAAGGTTCCTTCTGGCTCTCTTATTTCTGACAGCGAGACGACGTAGTATGTTCGAAGTCCCCTATCACACAATCTTTTGCAGGGCTTCATGGAGTCTATTTTGAAGGCCGCTTGGCTATCACTGGAATACACAAATCATTCCGTTCGTGCCACAACTGTCGTGCATTTGAAGCAAGCCGGTGTTGATAACCGGAAAATTTGTGAAATTTCTGGGCATAGCAACCCAACATCACTGGCTTCGTATGACAAAACGAGCCCTGTCCAAGCCGTCAAGCTGTCAGAAAAAATTGATTGCCAGGAAGAATCCACTTCTTCCCCTGCTATTATGCCTGTTACCACATGCTCTGCGTCTTGTGTTGCTGCCAGTTCTTCTGCTTCTCTCACGTCATTGTCTGATTCTAGCTCTGCTTTTGTGTTCAATGCCGCTGGATTATTATTATTATTATTATTATTAGAAGCATGAAGTTGAAGACACCACTGCAGCTGTACTTATGGTTGATAAATATGGTGGTAAAGACACACCCGGCAATATGGCGGTAAACACACGCCTGCCCACACACGCTCTCTAAGCTGCAAAGTTCTGGCACAGAGCTCTCCTTCTCACCACCACACCATCAGTTCGCGCCTGGCGCCTAATCGATGCATGGTTGGCGGTATCCGACATAGCAGGCTGGTACATCAAGTAGCGCATGGCACATAGAAGATGACACAGCAACGACATAGCTCGATTGCGACGTACGTTTCGTCCCCGCTACTTCACTACTTGATGTACCAGCCTGCTATGTCGGATACCGCCAACCATGCATCGACTAGGCGCCAGGCGCGAACTGATTGTGGTGGTGGTGAGAAGGAGAGCTCTGTGCCAGAACTTTGCAGCTTAGAGAGCGTGTGTGGGCAGGCGTGTGTTTACCGCCATATTGCCGGGTGTGTCTTTACCACCATATTTACCATTATTAGAAGCTCTGTATATTCGTAAGTTAGATCTAGAACTATGTGTCCAGAAGAAGAATGTGTTGTCGTTGCAGTTGTTTTGTAGCAGACCTCATGAAAGTACTTCATGACCAATGTTTCTTGATGTGTTCAACGTGTTTGTCTACAATCAACAGCTTCAGTTTTAGAGATAGCACGTTAATCATTTCTCACTTACAATCGTACATGTATGTTGAGGTGTTGT